ATCTGGTGTGAGTTGCAGTTCATTCATCAAGGTCAGAAGTCAGTGGAAGTAAAGAAAAACAATCTAAGAAAAATCTAAAATATATATATTATAGAAAAATAAAAAACAATCAAATTAAAGTATATGTTAATGTACCATCATAGAAACAAAGAGAAATATATATATCCATACATACATGCACATAGTATACACACATACATAACATTCATACACACTCATGCAACATTTGAGAAGAACTGAAAGATCTCACAAATCGGGTCAGCAAAGGCCCCCTCCACCCGACCCACGCCCAACAGCAGCTACAGCCCCACAGGATACAGACTGGGCGGTTAATTAGATTTTTCACTTGATTGAGAAGTTGTAGATTGTTTTGTATTCATTTAAATTGTTGATATCAGAGAACTGTCCCTCCCAACCCGTATTTCGGATGAATACTGAATGATATAAATGTTGTTTTAAGAGATGGAGGTGAGTATTTCCTTTTGCATGATGGAAATTGGGATGGTGTTGGTAGCTGGAGGTCTGATTGTGCCATACTGGGTTATCTACATGGTGCTAGTATGACTTGGTGATATTATGTTTTCCACCAGGCTGCCAGAGATGAGGAGATTGATTTTGTACACTGTAAAACCCGATAAGTTAATGAACTCAAAAAATAGTTGAAACTGATTACATCGAAAATCTTAATCTAACAACTCAATCTTTTAAGTTATAATAAACATAATTACATAAAGTACTATTAACTTAGCGTAATCAAGTGACACTTACTTCATTTTGTATGTTAATGTTACACTAATTAAAGTATTATTTACATGTTTTTTATTCTGAAAAACAATACAAATTAATTACTGCAAACTCAATACTTTGTGAACGTTACCATGAATTATTTATTTTCCTAAAGTAATTTACATTATATTAACATGTATTTTTTAGTTTAATTTAGTTTGAAAAACTTTCCTATAATTAAAAACTCACTAATTGCAACTCAAAACAACATTTTGAATTACTTAAAACATTGTTGAAACTGATACATAATTTTTTTAAGTTGCTTTAACATAATATCCTAATACACAAATCTTAATGAACATTAAACACATTTTAACACAGTTCTTTAAATGCAGATCACTTATTAAATGACTTAAACATCAGCCAAACATTATAGTGATTATAAAAAACCTTCCAGCAGCTTATAGTGGGCTTTGGCAAACAGCCTATGATCATTTATGATCAGAACATTTACATTATCACAGTGCAAGATTCAACGTAGTAACAAACGTTTGCAAATTTAAAATTATTGCCTCAGTATAAGCAGCATGTCAAAACATTCAAATGACATATACTGAGTAAACATTGTATCTCCAGACCTGTCCTCATGACACAACACAGGAGCAAAATAAACAAATATCAAACTTCAACCAGAGAAAGTCCAATTTTGTATCAGAAAGACACAGCAACAACTATTGTAAATAGTTCAGAAACACAGTAACTTTTAAGAATAGTTGACAACTTAATACACAGATATACTAAAGAAATGCCAACTTCAGCAAAATGACAAAAGGTTTACCCTATAGTTCTGTACATCAACACTAGAAAAACCCAGGCATTTCCAACAGAAACCCATTACAACTTTGAGTTCAACAGGCTTTTCAAAACACATCTTTTTGAAGTAAAAACCCCGAACTTAGGCCCTAACTTTTTACTGCTCTTTGCAATGCCAAAATTACACAAGTCCATGTGCGCAAACAGAAATTCTTCAGTGAAGTATACAGTTGTGTGTGTGTGTGTGTGTGTGTGTGTGTGTTGTGTGTGTGTGTGTGTGTGTGTGTGTGTGTTGTGTGTGTGTGTGTGTGTGTGGTGTGTGTGTGTGTGTGTGTGAGATCATTCAGTTGACAAAAGGTCGTTTTTAAGGCTCAATACTCTAGGCTTCAACTTGCCATCCTCAAGGCCCATCAAGACTTTTTGGATGAAGTCAAATGTATTGGCCAAGTCTTTCGGGTAACTTAGATGTAGCCATAAATAAGTGCAAAAAGCATGACAAATGCATCAGAAAATGTTGGGAAATCGACAACTGTGTTACCCTCAAGCACAACGGCAACCTTCTCGGGGCAGAATACCGCAGCATCTGTTGAAGTGGCACTGATCAGGAGGAGCCCAACTGGTATGTTGTCGATTTGCAGTTCATCTGACAGGGCCTGCTAAAGACAAGGACAGAGAAATGTTACAAATCAACTGCCTAAGCTTCAGTGTTTCCCATAGAATGACAATGTACCAAAAGCTGTTTATGTTTCTTGATCAGCGGAAAAATATGGAAAGTACACTACCCTATTGCTATTCAGGGATTTCTTAATCACCACTTTAAATGTAGTAATTATCCCCTTTTTGTTTTTTTGGCCTCAAAACAATCAAAGCTAAATGGTACTGAAAGACAATGACTCAACTGACAAGCTTTTTTAAACAATCACTATATTGCATTTATTCTCACTATAGATGTTGATATTGTTTAGCATACTATTCCAGCTCTGCAGGTTTTAAATGGAATTTTAAAAACTGCAGCATGAATTGAGTTTGACCAGTAAATGCAAAGTTTAATTACTAATTCCTCACAGGTAAGATTAAGCCTACGTAGATTTGCAGACAATTATTACTATATTAATCTTTTAACTTTTAATATCATGGCAATCATACACCAAAATGACAGCATCTGAATAAAACAGATGAAATATATAACATGTTCAACAGATTCATTACAAGTCTTAATAATATGCTGACTTACATCCCACAGCTTCAGAAATCCGGAGTCATCCTCATGCAGATATGTAGGGAGAGCACGGAGGACGGCAGCACGGAGACATTGATGTCAACTTGTTCCTTAAGTATAAGAAAACACATCATCTTAATTTGAAATGCCAAACAGGGAAGAACAGAATTTATCACAAGAAATAGCCCTATATGATGTATTTGAATACGATTAGGTAATGCCTACCAAACTGTCAAATGACAATATCAAAAGCGGAACACTTGATGACATTTATTGTTTCTATTGTTGGTCGTGTTTTTTCCAAACAGTCTTTCACGATAGAAGACTGTCAGCTATCAACGATGGCATCATCATTTGGCCCTAATGTAATCTGAAGATAGGGAGTTCCAACAGGTTCTATTATTATCATGCATGAAGAAGGATAATCAACTCACCTGGCGGTCATAAGTGTTGAAGAGCTGATCCAGGACTTCGACACCTTCCCTGTGCGCGCAGCTTTCTCCTGAACAAACTCTGAAACGAGGACATGTCTGTCTAACTCAGAATAGAAGTGGTTCTTCAGGTTGATGTTTGTGATTCTGTGAAACTCTGCACAAATCTGTAAAATAAAAATGTGACATTGAAGTGCATTTGTATCTCAAAAGAAAAGGAAAATGAAGTTGTAAAACATTACATTACAAAACGTGTTTAAACATTATGTACTGTCGCATTATAAATGTCAAAACTTTACATTTGTTAAATGCTTGTCAGACTAAGTGACTGATGTTGAGATCCCTACACTTCCCTATCACATACAAAGAAAAAAAACTCACCTGTGACTCCATCTTTAGGGCAGGCCAGCGCTCCAGGATCTCTCCAACAGGCAAGTCATCATTGATGACCTCTTTGCATCGCAGGGAAAAGGTGGTCTGCATCAACTTTGCAATCAGAGGGAGGTTTTTGTCAGTCCTTATAACTTCATCTACAATCTGGAGTCTCTGTCGCTCAAGGCTTGAACCATCTTCTCCTTTTGGAAAGTTGGGGAGAAAATTCACTTCTGCCCTTTTTGGTCTCTTTATGTCAGTGTGGGGAGATTGTTTGTCAGGGTTGTTTCTGCTTCTCTTTCCAGAATTTACAGCTACCTCACTATATCCTGCCCGACTCAACTTAGTGCAGAAGTTACCCATCTTAAACTTCAGACTATTTTTCCAACCATACCATCCTGTCTGCGTTCCTGGTTCTTTAAGACAAGCATGGGTGGTGACAAGCGCTTCTGCAACCACTGAAATGTCTTTATCACTGGGATATGCTTTAAAGCTATGCATTTTGGATGCAAGGGTTTCAAGAATGTCATGCTTCTGTCCCCTTGATAACTTCAGGGTTTTCCCTGTTCTCTCATGATTCAAATTTCCCTCAACAAGTATGAGTTCTACTTCATAAGTAAAAGCTGGCACTGGACAAACATCCGGCCATCTCTGGGTCCTTTCTGGAGTCATTGCATGAGGCAATATTATTGTGTCATCAGATGCAATTGAACTGGCATCACTCTGAGATCTTACAAGTTTAAGTACTGCTTCTGTGGAAGCTCTTCAATGTCTATAAGGGAACATAACTGCCCGTCAAAGTCTGGATCTTCATATGATAAGCAAAAATCAAAGTCTATCTTAAACTTTTCTTTTGTCATTTTTTCAAGCTCATTCACAGATTCTGGAGGTGAAGCCAAAGTCATCTTCCTGACAATGTCCATGGAAGTATGTATGTGAAGATTACCTATTAAAACGAAGAGAGGGGAGAGAACGGATTAACTAATAGCATTCAACAATGCATACACAATAGGTATTTGTGTGAAACAGTTATAGACAGATATTATTCACCTAAAAGCTGGGGTTTGAAAAACATTACAGTTGTAGCAGGTAAGTCTTTCTAGGCTTGTAATGTTAGTAAACGTAACTGGCATATCAAATTTTAGTTTACCTGTCTTACTTTGCTACACACTGTTCCATGAGGCCATATGGTTCATACGGAGCAACAGAAACACCGCGCACAATGCGGTTATTTTTTTTTCACACCAGGCTTTATTTTTGATAGTTTACCTACCTATCAAAAATGTCTAACAAATGATAGCACTAAATAAACTACTACAAGACCTCTTTTAAAAACGTTAACGGCTGTCTGTACAGAAACATGCATGTGGAGGTCGAGAAACAAAAGCAGTCCAGTAACATTTCCAGACAAATTTTAAAGCAAGACTTAGTTTATACTTGAAAAGTTAAAGAAAGTTAAAGAAAGAAGTTAAGCCAGTTATATTTTTTCAAATGTTTTCACATTAAATAGTGCAAACTGCATTAATTAAATAGGCTAACTTTGCCACAAAAGTACAACAGAAAACACGTATTCACTCTTCATACTAAATGCATGAAATAGCTGCGGACATGAGAACTATTTCATTAAATGAAGAAACAATATCAAAATGTGATAAAATAAGTTATTACTCACCAGATTAGCTCAAATATAGCACCAATGCTACGGCAGTCAGCGCATTCAGCAGAGTAGAGACAGAAAACTCCTGCATGTCCGAACAAAAGTCCCTTCAAAAGTCTGCGATTTGCTCCACAAATAACAATATCTATTGTCTGTGTCCAAATTGTTCTCAACTTGTAAAGTTCACTCCGCTTAGCTGGCTCATTCTTAGCGACTCGATGCGAGAGCAAACATGGCGGTGAGAGCACGTACGCACGTGACCGTGACGTCATGCAGAGCAGATCAAACAATTTGAGAACAATTATGAAAAATAATCAAATTGGTTGAGCTCTGTTTACTTCAAACTAAAAACGCGTTCTAATAACTTAGAAAAATAGAGTTGAAATAACTATTTTGAATTTCCGAGTTCACACAACCCAATTTTTTTAACATGCTTTTACTGTTCGGTCTTACAGTGTAGTCCTGTTCCTTAATTGATTGTGGTAGGAAGGAAAAGGGTTGTTTTTTTGAAACAACGATTAACTTCAATTCATTTGTAGTTTGACTTTTATCCCCAGTTACGGCTGCAACCTTCCTGGTGTTACAGTCTGAGTGAGTGTCACGCCAGCTGCACACAAGTTGATGATTTTTCAGTGAAATTCATTGTCCTGGTCTTGTCTCCTTCTTGTCCTGGTCTTGTCTCCTTCTTGTCCTGGTCTTGTCTCCTTCTTGTCCTGGTCTTGTCTCCTTCTTGTCCTGCCTTGGTCTTGATCTTATCTCGGTCTCTGAGCACTCTGGTCTCAGCTAGTCATGCTGGCTATCATGGGTTTTGTTCATTATTACCGACTATTGTAGAGAGAATAAAGCACAAAACAAGTTTACTGTCATTTGGGAATTTATATAAATATTTATATAAATGATGAAAAATGATATCGTTTGAAGTTCTGTGATCACTGATGACGCTCATCAAACATATTGAGGAGCTCAGTCTGAGTTTAAAAACAGTGTTTATGTCTCATCATGATGTGTTTTTACTCGTCCTTTGTAAAGTTATCATGGAGAAACTACATTTCTTAATGTAGTCACTGGCTCCATTATGATGAAGTATCTTAAGACAGTTTGTGATAAAAGAAAAGAAAAGTCGTTTTAACAACTTTGAAAAAAAGACAAAAAGACAAAAAGTGTATTTCTCATTGATTTAATGAACAGATTATCAGGAAACAATACACACACATATGAAGCAACAAGCTAATATTTATTCTTTAGAAACATGAAATAAAGAGAGAGAGAGAAAGGTGCACAGTGAGAGCAGTATCACAGTAAAACCAGCAGCAGAGTCCCAGTGAGTCATTACTGGGAACACTGGTCTCTACTCAGACTCTCTGAGACTGGAGCCTGGGCGCCCTGGGTGGCCTCACAGGTCACAGAGCCCACCTTCCTCCACTGGTCTGCAGAGAGCCTCAGGGTGCTGCTCCAGCTGTAGAGAGCGTCCTTCTCCAGCACCGCAGGGCTCCTGCTCTCCTCCCAGCTGCTGCTGCTGCTGCCGTCCACCTTCCAGGCCAGACTCCAGCCTGAGGGGAAGCCCTTGTTGGCCAGGCACATGAGCGTGGCCTTCCCCTGCTCCAGCTCCTCATTGGAGGGGGGCAGCACCGTCAGGGTGGGACGCACATCACCTATAGGAGACACCAATCAGATTAGAGGACAGGGAGCACACAGCTGTCAATCAAACTCCACACCCTATAGGACACCTTTAATGTCTGAGAGTTGATTTTTCTTTTTTAGGAGTTTCTGTCAGATGTTTCTTTCTGCTCCACCGGTCACTCACTCACACATTGTTTCACTTCCCTTTAAGAAGCCTCTCATGCACATCAGCACACAGAGAGAGAATCACACAGAACGACCTGAAATATATTTAAACTACATCTGAATCCAATTTAAAACATTACAAACATTCCCCATCAAAATAATCCAAAAACTTTGCAAAACATTATTAAAACAGTTTGTAGGTAAAACAAACTAAAACAGAATCAACTGAACACAATCAAATGTTCTTCAAATGAATTCTAATCAGAAAAATAAGGTATCAGAAAAATACCTTAAAGAGTTGTCAGAAAATGAATCTGAGGAAAACATTTAAAACACCTCTCTTTGTTAAACATCAACTTGTTTATGTTTCAGTGTGACAGAAATCAAACTGTCCTGAGTGAACCATCACGGTAAAGCAGGACCGATAAAAACATGATAAGAGTTCATTAGAGTTAGAGTTTAACGATGACAAATAAACAGAGAGACAGCTGCTGAACACAAACACATGAAGATATATATTAGACATACATATAAATAATATCTGAATAAATCTACTTTGTAGTTTTGTCAGTGTTTGAATTGCAGAAGCAATGATTTGATATCTCTCTATGCTGATGATATCATGCTTTATTTAACAGGTTTAAAATATTTCTTTGAGCTAAAACACATTCATTAAGATGTTTTCCTCTCTTTTCTTTTGATAAACATAAACCACTAGACAATTTAAAATCCTGGTCATCAACATTTTCAGTAAAGAAAGCTGATTTGATGATTTTCATTCACTTGTTTCAGTCATTAAGGCGTCCATATCGATTGTTAGAAAAACCTTGTGAATAGAACATTATTTAGCAGCTGTCTTTGAGGTTGTCAAAGTGTGATTTATGTGGATCAAATATAAAAATCTGTATTTTAACATTAGGTTTAATATTCATACAGAAACTTACTTCCAACATCCAGTCTGGTTCCTCCACCAAAAGTCCACCACAGTGGTACAAAGTCATTGAGCGGCCGTACAAAAACCTCTCACTGTAGAGACACACGGCTCTCTGACTTTAACACACTGAACTCAAACTACCACAACTCCACATGTCACCTTACCATGAGAGTGAAAATCATCTATTTCCCAACAAATAAAAACTCTGGCTTCAAACATTTTACCTTCATTTAAATTCAGTCTGTGTTTCTGTTTTAAACTGAAATCCTTTAAAGTCAAATGTTGTCTTTATTCTTTCTAAAACAAACGATTTAAAAGTTAAAGGTCAGTATTTTCTTTTCCTCCAGGCTTGAATATGAAGACAAAAGACACCAGAATAACTTACTGATTGAATAAAAAGCTGAATATGTGACTTACTTCCAATATCCAGTCTGGTTCCTCCACCGAACGTGAGCCACAGTGATACAAACTGATGGAGTCGTCGTACAAAAACCTCTCGCTGTAGAGACACACGGCTCTCTGACTCTGACACAAACACAGACACCTCAATGAGTCTCTGCCTGCAAGACCTCTGAGACCAAATGAAAACAGAATCTAAAAAGATTATAACAGATTAAAGAATGTCTTTCTTTGAGATATTTAAATCTTTGAATTATTTTTAAATCATTTTCTCAAGAATATTATTAATTACAACTCCTGATTTATATCAGGATAAATGTTTCTAGAAGCATGAACATGAAATCATATTAAAGTTGTTTTGAAAGTTTTCTAATGAATTGTATAATTAATTGATTGATTGATAAACAGAGTAATGAGAGTGATCCCTGTTGGAGTCAATCAGAACATTTCCATAGAGAGCCACTTTGCATCAGCAGCACCATGCTCCAGTGCTCTGGGAGACTTTATAGTCCTGACAGTTGAACACTGGATGACTGACAGCTGTCCTTCATCACAACAGAAATCCTCGTCCTCATCATCAAAAACATGACTTTGATGTGCGTCCTCATCTGGACTCTCCTCCTCTGCTGCTGCTTCACAGGTAAAGTCCAGAGAATCAAACTCCTCTCCTCTATGAACATCCGTCCCTCTGAAATGAAGCCCACTAAACCCTGATGCTGCTTTCTGTTTTTGTCTCTGTATCCTCAGAGTCCAGAGGACAGGTCACAGTGACTCAGCCTGCAGCAGTGAGCTCTGCTCTGGGAGCCTCCGTCTCCATCTCATGTAGAACCAGTCAGAATGTTTATTATAGCAGCTACCACTACTTAGCCTGGTACCAACAGAAAGATGGAGGAACTCCTAAACTGCTTATATACAGTGCTAGCACTCGAGCATCAGGGATTCCAGATCGTTTTTCAGGCAGTGGATCAA